CTCACAGCATGAAACTGTCAGTAAAATAAGAGCACTACTATCTATCATAAGTTATTATAATGATTTACGAATATATACTAGCACAGTTGTATTTTATTGGTTTTGCTTTTATTAAACAAACTAGCTATTCACTCATTCATTCAACTCATACTATAGATAAATCGTAAGCGTAGCGTACATATATGATTTTCCTATCTCCACTAAATAATCAGATAATCGAATCCATGGAATTATACTACTCTCATGCAGATAAGAGTAGTATGGTAATGATTTTCTCTGTCAAAAACATACTGATGATGATGATAAGAAGAGTAAACATTGCAAAAATAACCAGAGGTAAAGAGAGGAGAGAGAAGACAAAGAAGAAGACGCTGAACAATCTGTATACACACGAACACATTCACAAACTCACACACACACACGCCAAAATATCATTCGACATAAGGAGTAGGAGGAGAAGGAGGAAGATTCTGTTGATGACACAGCTGCAAAATTATGTTCAATGACTCTTATATGTATATATACGTTCATCACCTAGGTTCATCGAATTCTCAAGAAAACAAGGGCATAAATATATGATGCTGCCATATACTACTGATTCATTGATATGAGTAGTACTATTAGTAATAGTATTGGTACTCGTATCAACTAGATCGAAATGGTCTAATCAAAGAACAGTCATTCCGCTTGCGTGGGAACAAGTTTCTCAGGAGTATTATACCTGATTCGAATCAGTTTAGAGAACTGACTGGTTGGTTGGTGCAGGGGGCATACAACTATTCGTATTAATCGATTAGTAGTACAAAGCGTTGACCGCGAAGTAATTTGGAAACTAATCGAGTACTAACGCGAAAGGGGGCCAAAATATTCATCAACGTTATTCAACAGCTGTACGACAACAGTGGTACATGTCAAGTGGTCCACAACGGAAAACTCAGTGAGGCGTTTGAAGTAAACACAGGAGTCAGACAAGGATGCCTGCCTTTATCATCGATGATATTCCTAAATGTGATGGACTGGATTATGCATCAGACAGTGAGTGGAAAACGAGAAGACAGGGATATCCTGGACTGACGTGAAGAACCCAGAAGACCTGGATTTCGCGCCTGGATGATTTATGTTTGATGTCACACACAAAATCGAAGACTTACAAGCAAAAACCGACAGGCAAACTGGTCGAAGAAGCAGCCAGCGAAGACAGGACTCAAGGTGAACATAGACAAGACGGAAGTTATGAAAATAACCAACTAACCAACAACAACAGCAACAACGTCCAGCGCCAGTCACCATCACAAAGGGAGGGATTTGAAAGAGGTTACTTCATTCACTCACTTATCCAGCATTGGACATTGTCTCAACTACAGGATGTCGGAACGGATGAGGATGTCAAATCGAGCGAGAATCGGGAAGGCGAGAAACACACACATTCATCATCAACCTGAAACCAATCTGAATACGAATCTTCGTCACTCAGCATCAACAACAAAATTCTGTCGGATTTTAATACAAACAACGTCAAGTCAGTCAGTTCTTCTATACGGATCAGAAACTTGGCGCGCGGGTCACTAAGAATATTTCCAAAAGGTTGCAGACCTTTATTAACATCTGTCTTCGCTGGCTCTATACTGAAGATCAGATGGCCGAACCGGAAAGAATCACCAACTATGGGAAACTATGGACATCAACAAACAAAGCAAGAATCAATCGCCAACAAAAAATATGCAGGAGAAAGTGGATTGAGATGGATTGGACACTCGTGGCTGAAGAGGAAACCGCTTGGTGACATCGCGCGCGCGTCAGACCAATGCTAGAGTGAAACCAGGCAGAAAGAGAAGCGGCGAGTGGGATGTCAGTGTAAGGGTGACATGGAGGCGATCGTGTGAATAGGAGGAGGAGTTGAGAGAGTATGGACTAACATGGATGCAGGTAAAAAGTACAGCAGAAGGAAGACAGAAGTGGCAAGTGGAGACGTGCAGCTGAAGCCGTATGTTCCACTAGGAACCCAAAGGAACAACAACAACAGTATAAAGCATCGGGCATTTATTGCTTGTAGATCACATATTGTGATAGTTGCAAAAATTGAGAAAATTTGACTTATGTGGGTGATATGGCCTCAGTTCGCCTAAATAAATAGCTAGCCAGAAATCAGGTGCTATGAACTGATTCGGCTGCCTTTCTGAGTTGAGTCAAATCTGACTACACGGCTAACTGATAAGCTCGACTGAAAAAACAAGTGAAACTGCCGTCAAGCGGTGTTTAGATCACCTCAACCTGGCTGGCTAGCCAGTAAGCAATGCAACTGATCGATATGAGTAGAACGGAACTACTGATCCCAGTCGATTAGTAGTATATGTGTATATTCATGCATATATGCTAGTTTTCTTGATTACCATGTATGGTAAACAAGCAGATCACATACTGTATGTAATCTACCTTAGTATACCATATAGAGTGGTATAGAGGTTTGAAATGTTGCACATTTGTGCAAAGTTCTACTTTGACAACTAACTCATTCAAGTCAGTTCCTCAGTCACTTGATCATCAGAAGAACTACATATATTTGAATAAATATAATAATAATAATAATAATAATAATGGATGCAGTGATGAAATAGTTTTGATATTCAAGTGTTGGTTTGTAGGGATTTCATTGGCTACAGGATTTCATCATGAGCTGACATTAGTTAGAGAACCATTGGAAAACCTGGGGATACTGGACAACTGTTTCGTCCTAGTTTGGGACTCTTCATCAGTATGCACCCACCGGGATTCGAAACCACGACCTTCTGGTTACAAGGTCAGCGAGCTCGTAGACCATTAAGCCATTGGAACCCGATCCAATGACTAGTCCATGAGTTCTAACTTTTGCCAATTCACAACATACCACGACCACTAACCAATGTTTTGGGTGAGTATTTGTCCTCACACTAGACTTGCTGCACCCTACTGGTCACGACTTCTCACTAGAACCCCAAGTAACTACCTACCTGAATAGGGAAAGTCGCTAGTGAGGTAGTTTTGATTCTTTCTCAAGTCCGTGAACTTGGAGTAGCCTATTATCATCATCATGATCAGTGGTTCCGAGTGAAACATGTGGGTTTACCACACAGTTCCCTGCCGTCACTAACATCAGACTCCTCTACTACTTGCAAGATGTCTTTCCTCCGTGTCACCCTCCGACCTCTGCTTAATATGTCTTTGGTATTCAGTTTCTATTTGAGGTTTTGGCTTGGCATGAGATATCACTCAACGGTCTCCTCTGGGTATGTCCAACCCGTCTCTATATATTTCATGTAAAGCAGGTTCTCGGCTGGCTGGCTGACTGACTCGCTCTACTGCGAGAGATCTATGTTGTTTAATTATGTTTTCTGACCGGATATATGAACTTCAGCATCGAGTTCTGTTGATGAAAGTTTGTCATAGCGTGTTAGAAATGCTTCTGGTGAAATTCACGTTAATTATTTGAACCATATAAAAAACGGTGACTTGGCTTTAATGTAAAGCATAAGGATGTTGATCTTCAGTTAGCAGTCTGAAAACTTCACCTGCAATCGATCTACTCTCATATATGCCAGTTTATGCCATCTCTGGCGTAAACGTGACATCCGGCTATCGACCAAAGGGCGTGTGTACTGTTCAGCATTCCGGTCTGGAATCCTTTACGGCTGTGACAGAGACATGACCATTGAGAGTGGGGGACATGAAAAGACCAGCCAGCTGTCTTTGATTATAGGTACCCGCGTTCTATCTCCTATGTGAAGTGGTATAATAGGGTGAGCCATATTCAGGTTTGGCGATAGTTGAGTGCTAGGTAAAGAGTGGAAATCAATAAATGAGGCTTTGAAGTTACAACGACTGAGGTGGTTAGGACATGTGTTACGCACCCAAATCTAGCCATCGCCTTCCTCTACAACGGGCAGTGTTAGCTGACTGATATAGGATCTGGTTGGAAAAGAGCCAGTGGTGGTCAAACCAAAACCAACATGAAATCAGTCAATGAAATCCACAACACTTAGTTTAAGCCAACCAGTCATGTAGGGAGATGTAGACTTCCTGACTGGTTGGGGTCCTCTGGACGGTGAAACCTAATGTAGGCTGGAGACAATTGGTGTTGATATGACTCCAAAGCATTGTCAATGGCTGGAGGCGATGCATCCACTTGCTGTGACTTATAATTTCCAATAAAACTATATTGTTCTTCGATATTACTATTTTTTGCCTGATATCTCTGTTTACTGTCTCCATTTTTGCATTTATTTTTACTTTCTTTTCTTGCTTTGTGTGCTACATGGAGGGAGTGTGGTGACTCGAAGTGGTGCTGCACATCTGTGCAAAGTTCTATGTTGAATACAGTCAGTTAGTCAGCTGGTGGTAAGAGTCCTTAACACAGAAAATTTCATACTCACCAAGTAAAACTAATCTGACTAGAACTAAAACTTCAAGTAAAGAGAAAATAAATTCATTTATCTTTAAAATCATGAATAACAGATGAAGTGGAGTAATGAAAGCTTTCGGGAAGTCAGTCAATCTATGAGGATATTGAATGTCCATACCATGTTTAAGGCTGACAAAGCTTCCCAGATTCCATGCAAACGAGTAAGTATGATAACAGAAGTGTTAGGAATCTGTGAGAATAGATCGATTGCAAGTGAACTCTTCAGATGGTTAGCTGAAGATTAAGATCCTAATTTTCCTCGTTCAAGCATCTGGTGCGCATGAAGTTATTCGACGGTCTCCTTATCGAGTATATTCAGTTCCATATATATATAAAGCCATTTTCTTCTTTACTCTTGTTCTTGGTTCACTAATTTAGGCCTACATTGATTTCTTTCGGTTCTGGGTGGAATATAGTCGACTTAAGCTTTGAAGTTGCAGTTACAGTAGAAGATGAAAATATACAAACCAACCAATGAAAACAAACTAACTGACAAATAAAAAGACAGACGGATAGAAAGGCAGACAGACAGATAGATAGACAGACGGACAGATAAAATGCTTACCACGCATATTTGAATATTTTGTATCATTATTAAATGTACATGTTGATGCAGTAACAATATCATTTTGTAAACTGTTCACTGGTATATGACTAGCAGCACTACTACTATTACTGGTTTGTGTTGTTGACTTGACAATACCACTCATATATTGTGCTGGAGCATTTGTTGTATTCACCAGCGGGATAGAACGTGTAGATTTCTTCCCGTGTATAATAGGCAATCCTGTGGGCTTTGTTTGTGATGATCGAGATTCCGATTCCTTTTAGAGAGGAAAAATATCAGAAAAGACAAAAAAAAACACAGACCATAAGACAAGGAAATCAACTTCTCTTATAGTGTATAATTCTTGAAGCAGTTAGACTCTAAACATCTCGGAAGCACAAACACACCAGTGACTTTGGAACACTGACAATCAGAGCAAGGTAGTGAATTCAGTTAACCACCAAAATACTTCTATCGGGAAGTCGTGACCAGTAGGGTACAGCAGGTCAGGTAGGTGTGAGGACAAGTACTCACCACCGATGGCATTCATTGGCTACTGTCATTCATGCTACGTAATGAATCGGCAGACGTTGAAATTCATATACTGGCTATTGGATCAGATCTCAGTGAGTGGCATAATGGTCTACGAGCTAGCCTTTTAACCGGAAGGTGCTGGGTTCGACCCCCTGCGGTGGGTGCCAGCTGCCAAAGAGTCCCAAACAAGGGGGATAAAACTGCTGCCCAGTACTCTGTGATTTTCCATTGGTTCTCTAACCAATGTCAGCTCATGAAGAGATCCTGTTACCATCATCATATTTATGAAGAGAAAGAAGTTTCAAATGAAGCGTACTCATATCAAACAGGATATCAGGTTAGTTTAAGATTAGGTTAGAGATAGAATAGGGCTCGAATTTGCTTTCTAGCACAGTTAATCATTCCAAAGTCATTGGTGCATTCCCTCCTTCTTGCGTGTCTAACGTTAAACTTCGCCTAATTATGAATAAGAATGATAATTTTATTGCAAACAGTTCTTTTGGCGGAAAAATATGGAATTTTCAGCATGCAATAACATATTGCAGCTAATTTTTCCATTCCAGGGCCAATAATTCAAATAGGGCATTTACATTCATAATACTGTTCAATAAGAATATGAATATAAAATTAAATCAAGTGAAAATATCAACAACGATATAATAATGGGACAGTGGGCGTTTTACTTAGAGTTCCACAGTCAGTTGGTCATCAAAAGGCCTTACACACATTTCTCATCATACAAAATGCATGCCTGCGAAATAAGGTATTTTTGTACTTAGACGTCTGAGCATACAGTGTCTTCTATAGTTGCTTCTAGTTCCCCTAACTGATGAGAGAGATGCAGGGAGAGAGGCCACGGATAAAGACGTCAAAGACAGTCAGTCAGCAAGCCCAAATCAAGATCTAGGTCAAATGGCCAGCCAACAAGCTAGCCAGAAAATATTAACAACAAGAAACTCTCGCTGGCTGGGATCAAACCAGCAAGTTAGTCCAAATGGGTTATCCTAGTAGATTTGTCAGGAGACACATGAATGCTAAGTACAATAAAGAAAAACCGACAACAGTTAAAAAAGAAACAACTGTTTATGAAATTGCAATTTAATGGGGACGTGGCTAGTGATGTCTTACATCAGAGATTATCGAGAGCGATAAAACGGACTTATACTGCCGCCACCCTCTGTTTGTCATTTTCCAGCCGACCAATTTTGATAGCTCAAGTGAAAGATAAGCTACCTAGTTGTGCCACTTCCATGTGTATCTATAATTTAGTTGCTCCTGTGGAGAAAGCTATATAGGCCGAACAACTAGGCAGCTTAACAAACGCATTCATGAGCATCTTCCTTCATGGTTCGGAAAAGGTCAAATAAAATCCATACGAAGTCCTGTTTTGGCTCATTTGATTGATAGTGGTCACCAAGTGGACAAAAATAGTGCCTTCAAAGTTATCTACCGCATTCCATCGAGTCTTTCGAACCGAATCAGAACCCGTCTTTTACACTTAGCTGAAGCTATGGGAATTCGAGAGAACAATCCTAGTCTTTGTATACAAAAGAAATTTGTTCTACCTTTGTCTCTCCCTTGGCTTAGGTGAATTCCATTCAAAACCCTCCCACCCTTTCTTATCATCCATCTCCTTCGTACTTTTATGATATTTATTTAAACTCTGATTATCGTTCCATTTGATTTGACCTTATTTATTTATTTATTGAATTGTCTACATATATGCATATACTAACTGTGTTATTCCTATCACCTATATAAGCCTTATTATCAATATTTTGTTATTATTATAATCATCGTTATTAACTTCGTTCAAAACATCTACTACATTATTATTATTATTATGATTATTATTATTTGATCCACAAAATCACCGTCATTGGTTAAAATTTTATATATATATATAAGTCCATGTAAATTAGAGTAAAGCCTGAAGAAGATCTAATTGAAAACAACAATATTGTTCGCTAATATGTCTTGTTCTAATATTATAAATGGGAATATTTAAAGATATATCTGTGATTCATATTTTAACACTTTAACTCTTCTATGATTGGCTAGGTTTTGTCATTGTTATTTCTTATGACTTTGATTCGGAACGTGAAAATTGACGTAAATCGTTGTCTACAATTTTGGCTTGCAGACAACGCTCACCACAAGCAAGGCATATTTGCAACCTCGAAGGAACTCACTCATGTCCCTTCTGAGATTTGTACTCGCGTCATCCAGTGAGTGCTGCAATCAAAGATAGATGTTACCAGTGAGCAGATATTTGGACTCGCAATTGCCTCTTGTAGGACTGTATTAGATATAAACCATCGGATACCAACAATTCACAGTGCACCGTGATGGTGAACCACATAGCTACTAGCATGGTGGCAAACTTGACTGATAGAGAGAATTCAGTCTGCACTATACACCAAGAACTAGACACATCACAAAAATTACTGACCAATATCCAATCAAAATGATTTCAACCTATTGCGAAGAATTTTTTGAAAGAAATAAAAGAAAAAACTTCTTAGAGTTAATTTAGGATGCTTTGTACAGTACAACATTGCTTCAAGGGATGTATTATGGAAGACCTCGCACGAGGAGGATAAACCTCACAATAGAAACAAGTTGAAAATTTTGTACTATGTTTAGAATAAAACTTTTTACAATGAAGCTGTTACTACTATTATTATTACTATTATTATCATTAAAAACTTTCAATTTCATATGACCAATCCCCTTAGTGTGACTGTATTTGTTAAGAGATAGTGATGAAAATATTGAACAGTGAACAAATTATAATAAGTATATTATTCAATGTACAATGAAGCTTTGTTCAAACAATCTATAGCAGTATAAGCCTAGTATAATATGGATGAACCAATGAAAAGTGAATGCGTGGGTGGATGATTAAGTCAGTGAGTGAGTGTTATGTACAATCAATCAGCTTTCGTTATCGAATCAATGTGACGAAAATAAAAAGCCTTATTTTATTCATATAGACACTATCACCTATAATTAGTGCAAATCTATGGTAAATTGCAGAGAAAATTAAAAGAGTGAAACTCATTGAGGCTTTAACGACAAAATATGCCATTTCAACTCCATTATAGATAAGATTTTATTTTGATTAAGGCACACAATTTTGTACAGTAAGATTAACTAACGACGTTTCGAGCACAAATTATTGCTCACTCACACAACCTTCTTGCTTCATTTATATAATAAAAATCAATATCAAAGACAATTAGATGGGAAATAAGACGAGTTGCTTTAATAGTCAAAATAAATAACTTGTTAGAATATTGTGATGTGTTTGAATTGAAATAGAATTTTAAGATTATCTATTATCCTCCTCTGATTTGACTGACTGACTGGTGGTAATAATATTATCTTCCATGCATATATCTGGTGTTTGGGTCATTGAGTCATTTCTGTCGCATGTGCTGTGCTGGGTGTAGACTCGATGTACCACCAGACAGGATTCAGTAATCAATCTCTTTCACTCTCCACCTACCTGTACTACTTTTTGGAATTTCGACTCTGTCCCACCCACCCTATAGTGTATTAATGCATGCAGTGAGACCGATAAGTGCTTTTTTCTACATTACTTATCTTCGCGGTTGGGGTCGATCATTCCAGCCTTAGCTAAAATCTTATGTTTTGACAAGCACTCTCAATACTCCTGATCTACTAGTTTGACCTATGTACTTGATCTCACTCACAGTCATTGCAATGCCTTTTATAAATTATATTATTTTGTTTAACCTGGTCCACCAGGTCATTTAGCCTACAAAGCTTGTCAAACCTGAGTGAGATTGTAGGTTGGAATGCCACCCTAATTCCTGCTTTATTGAAAATCCTACGTAGGGAAGGTCGCAAATGTCTCCTCCTTACATGGTAAAACTGTAGATGCCTTATATTTTTTTCTTATTTATGTTATCATTATTAGTTTCACAATTGTTTTTATTTTGCTTTCGACCTTTTGTGGTCTTCCTAATGAATTCTATAGGGCAGTTAGTTATTTAACACCAACTAGCTATTCTTCTGTCAGTTTCATTTAGGCTTTTTGTTGTACTATTCAGTGCAATCGTTCGGCTTGTTAGACACATAACTAAGTCTGTGTTTACAGACAACGATGGATGAGATGAATTAAAGTCTAAATATCTATTAGCAGAATGCGTTGGCTTTTTATAAACACCAGTGTGTAGTTTATCTTCTTCAATTCGTTTTATTTTACAAACTAACATCACAGCTAATTCTCCTTGTCCATTTTCCGAATCAAATGTGAATTTTATTCCCTCTACTAGTGAGTTCATAGGTGTCAAGAAGCTAGAGAGAGATATGTTCTGTTTGCAACACTGTGTGTGGAAGTATCATCCACACATATTTCCACCATATTTTTGGAGTAGGCTTTAATGTATTAAGAGCCATATTTTCCGAGCTGTCCATGAAGATATCTGCTACGATAATGGATATTGGTAATCCATCCCATTGCTACACCATGTGTTTGTTTATATACTTTGCCCCGGAATTTAAAGATAGGGGTTCGAGCCCACGCCGACGCACACCTGATATCTATGGTCGGCCTGCGAATTTTGGGCTACCGATATCCACGCTGAAAATTCCACACTTGTAAAATACGGTGTGGAATCAAGCTGTAATAAAAAAAAATAAATGTGAGACAGCATAACTGAATTCCTAAAATAATTTTCTCAATAGACGGCTTTGTTCTATGAGTGACTTCAG